AGTAATTGTTCAATATACATGAGCTCCCATCAGCACCGTTGCCTCCAGTATTTCCATCAGGCTTTGATCTTTTATACACCCTTCTTGATACAAGTGGATCATTCTTCAAACCTTCTCTACCTGATGGCCATGAAATTGCTCCAATGTGTATTATTACAAACACAACTGCAGGGATCAGACTGACACATAGATCTGTCAGGCATCCCCCATCTACTGCTCCGGAGATATCTGGAAACGGAATTGCCAGATCAAGGTATTTGTACATTTCTGATTTTGCTAATTTCTGCTCAAATTACTGTGGAAAGACGATATAACAAGTCACATTTTTAACATTTTGTGAGAAGCCATTTTTTTTCTCCATCTTCTGGCCAAAACTGGGTAGTGCTTGCCTACCATTTCCTCTCAATTTCCTTTTGCCAACATTTCTGTAGTCATACAGTGGGGACATGTTTTGTGCATTATATCAAACTTAAATCCTTAAATGAAAAGAGGGATTAACATGACTGTATACAAATTTATATTCAAAATACAATGAATGGAAATATACATGTGTACGTAAATATATACACAAAAATATACGGCCAAAAAAAATTTATTTAGGATGCTTCATCAAAGTTATGTACACTTGAAAATTTGTTTAGTAAAACAGCAGTCCCCATGTGTACTCCCAGAGTTTCATCATATATAAGGAATTATTTAGACCGCCCTTCTCTCTAGGGATAACAACTTTCAATGCACGTGCTACACTTTGGCTGTGCAATTTTCCATCCCAGGCCCTTCAGTCCAGCCCGAAGGGGAAAAGGAGTGTGTGTTTTCCCTCCTGCCGGTCCACTCCAGGGAGCCGACAAGGCACCTCTCTCCCACCCCCCATCACACCTCCCCACACCCTCCAAACTGACCCCCTCAAGGACTGTTGTGTTTTTCCGTCCTTTGTAACTGCTGAAAATTCTCATATCTTCAAAATATGAAAATCAGAGTGATGGTCCTGGGCGCCTGGAGGGACATCTTAGCTCGCTCTCAACACCCACTCACGAGCCTCATCCAAAGTGTTCTGCAGGGCAGAAGAAAACATTTTTGCATCTGTCTGGTCCTAAGGCGTCGTCTTCTCCTTGGGGCCGGGTCCTGGCCGTCGAGGGGGAGCCCCAGCGTCCGACACTCATCCCTCTGGGCTGCTCAGCCTCCTCTTCCCTGCGGCCCTGCGGGAGCTCCTTCCAGGCTGCGGAGGATCAGGACCAGGACTCCCAGCCCGCGAGCTTAAGAGGCCACTGCGCGGATTTCTCTTTCCAGCTGAGATCTTGGGACCAAAGAATGAGATTTCCAGACTCAGGTTCCAAAGCTTAGTGAAACAGCGACAAAGATCCCGCAGTAGAGACGTAGGAGCTAGAAATTCGGCATAAAATCTGAATATGAAGAACAGAGTAAATTAATATTCGGAATAGGACGGGCCATCTGAATAAAACAGTATTACTCCTAAGTTAGGTCTCCAGCCATCGACCCTACACCCAGACACAATCACCAGTGACTGACTGAGCTAACCCCATCAAAATTTCATGCCCCCATTCCTTACCAAAGAGACAATAGGTGCCATTACGAGATTATCTGGGTGAAAGGCGTCTCCCGGTCTAGGATTGAGGGGCGGCAGCCATTTTAGTGGAGATCTCTCACCCCAAAACCCAGGGTCACGGGGTGGGGGCTTCCTGGGTTGCTGGGGCTCTGGCTGTGGGCTCTGGCCCTTCGACTGCATGGGGCCAGGAGGACCGCTAGGACGGGGACCCTCCAGGCTTGGTGACTCCAACTGGATGTTTCGGCAATTTCCCTGTGGACCAGGCCACTGTGAGAACCCAGTTTTTGGGACCCGGTCCCCTGAGGAGGGGATACGAGAGCTCAAGTGACATGACCGGGGACGCATTGTGAGGCGGGAGCAGGAGGGACGCAGGGACTTGCAGCAGCCAGCACCCTGCAGGGAGCCGTCCGGGGACCGGAACCTTTCCCTCCTCTGACCCAGGACTTGGAACAAAGGGCAAACGGAATCCACACCCCTTTATCTTTGCCTTTCCCTCCTCTGACCCAGGACTTGGAACAAAGCGCAAACGGAATCCACACCCCTTTCACTTTATCTTTGAGGGGGCAGTTTCCGGCTCCAGTGTAAAAGGCCAGCTTCTCTCGACAGCAAACGACAAGGTCCCACCGAGACTTGAACTCGGATCGCTGGATTCAGAGTCCAGAGTGCTCACCATTACACCATGGAACCGCCCGTCGCGGGCGCTCTCGGTTATTGGCATTTGCAAGTGAATTCTCAGCCTCCAGAGTCACCAGAATTTCCTGAGTACCTTTCAACCACAACAGGAGTCGCCGCCCCAGACGCGTCTCTCGGCTCTTCTCTTTAGGTTTCTATCTCAGAGAATGAGATTAAGCACTTTTTGGGATCAGGAACCCGGAAGAGCTACAT